AGGATACCACGTAGCAGACAAAAACGTAGTTGGTGTAAATAATATTGCTAAATATAATACTGTTAAGATGTACAGAGGACTTGTCAAATGTTTCCAAACTCCAGTACGTTTGTAAATACGTTGATACCATTTTAATTTGATAATATCGATAGTCATTTCATTTGAAGAAACTATAATGAAAGATCAAATATTTGTAATCAGTTACATTTCATTTATACTTTTCTCTTCTGTAAATGTTTCTTCTAACGATGTATCAAATTTATATGGTAGATTGAATAAAGAAAATTTCCAATCAAAATTCCAAAAGGATGTGATCAACATTATTCCAGCGAATGATGACCAAATGAAAGATATCTTTGAAAGTGTGATAAGATCAGCATCAATTAACATCTAGAAGATTTTATAAATTTATAATGATTAGTAAAGTGAGAATAAAAAAAGTATTTACTTGAAAAAATGAATACCATACACATGATGCTATATTAACTCCAACAAACAATGACGATATAAAAGCTCGTGATTTTGGAAAATAACCACAATATATACACGATGTTGCAGTTATCATAGAACCGGATAATGATGTACATGCAGTATGAACGTATATTAAATAATCTCGATCTGAAGAAAATAACAGACAGAATAATTAAAATAGAAGAAAAATAGTTGTTGTTTACCTGGTTGTACTAAAGCTAAAGCTAACCATCCAACAATATGTAAAACTCTTGAAATATGACAAGAATAGACATATTTGGTTTAAAATTTTCTAAAGAAAATGACGAATTCTTACATTGCAATTAATCTAACAAAGCGAGCACCCATTGAATCAACAGTAATACCAACAATAAAAGCGCCTAGATCAAATATTGCAATTCCTAAAGTTGCTGCATTCTAGAAAATATAAACAAACATTATTGATGAAAAAACAAATTCGATGAATTCTTTGTATTTACTTCATATTGTCTTGATTGATCACGACAAATCGTTTGTAAAGTTTTGTTTGAATTCTCTTCTGTTTTAAGGATACATTTACTTTGATATATATTATTATTGGCTAAAACATTGTACAAAGCAGAAAATCCATATATAGTTGCACTTGCAGTGAATAATTCAATGAATATGAAAACAACTCCAATCCATTTTCGAGTCGAATAAGTATCTTTTGGAACAGTAGTCATCTGAAAATGAAAATAAACAGAGATACTACATTTAAACATTAAAGAATTATATTTTTCCAGTAAATATGTCCTTATCTTCCATCTTCATAGACTAAATTAAGTAGATGAATAATAAAGAATGTATTATAAACTAAGTTACAGTAAACATTAGTTTATTAACTTATTTGAATCATTACAGATGAAACACCTTTTATAATTGTATCTCGAACGTGATAAATAAATACCTCAACGGAGAAAACATCGATGCGTGAATAGACAAACGGTATACCTGGTTGCACGTATATAAAACCGTACTTAAAAACATAAGGATATGGGTCATATGACATTTAATCGAGATTCAAATTTTGTAGAAATGTAGGGTGAATATGAAAGAATACAAATTATTATTATTATGAGTTAAAACACTGAAAACTGAGCTAAATATTCACATCTAATATTATTATGAATAAAATTCACTTTTGTTGATCTCATAATAAAAATAGAAGATCAATTTAACGATATGATATCTTTGAGTAATAATGAGATTCTTTTTTTATTACAACACTTTGTTCCACAAACGTTAAAATTGGCTTATAGATCAGGTCATTGACATCCTTTTCTTTGCATAATCATTATTCGTTTGAGTACTCACCTTTTGTCAAGATGTACAGTTTGTCTATTGCCTGATCGATATATTTTTTTCTTTAAGGTCAGTGTTTATTACATATGATAATGGATTATATAAAAGGTCTATCATTCGAACAAATTTTCTATCATTTGTTATAATTCAGGTGAGTTTTGGTAAAGATATGTTTTTTTTTATATCATCTAAAATAGTTGGAAGAAAAACTGAAAGATTCGAGATTTGTTTTATTAGTATCTGAATAACTGAAGTCTGTATCGTAGTTTTAAGAAGAATTTCTTTTCTTTATTTGATTCTTATTGATATTTAAGATTAAAATGATGAATAAATCGAAATCTGAATATACAAATGTGCTCATCGTTGGTGGTGGTATTGCAGGATTAGCTACAGCAAAAAGTCTCATTTCAAACAATATTCCTTGTATGATTATCGAAGCACAAGATTACATCGGCGGTCGTGTTAAAACTGTCGTCACTTCTGGTTAGAATTTCAATGTACAAATAATATCCTTGAATTTTCATTTGATTTCTTATAGATAAAGTTCCAATTGATTATGTATGTTTCTTTTTTATGAAAAAGATTTCGAATTGTTTATTAAAAGGGTGCACAATTCATTCATGGTGAAGATGGAAATATTGTTTATGAAATTTGTAAGAAAATCAATTGTATTAGTAACAACAATGAAAATCAATGTAAAAATCTAATTACGACGAAATCAATGATGAAAGTATTTCTATTGATCTATTTAGATGAATTATTTTTAACTTCAAATGGAGAAAAAGTCGACGTTGAAACAGGAAAACAGTTTTGGAAAATTCGTGATAATATATTGAACAAAACAAAAGCAATGGAAACAGAAAACACAACTTTTCGTGAATTTTTATGTGAAAATTATAATACAGAATTATCTCATTTGATTTCTGATGATATAACACGTAATGCATTGATTGAATGGTTTATTAAATTTGAAGAAGAAGATAGTGGTTGTGATACTTTAGATAATCTTAGTTTATCAGGTTTGTTCTTTTGTAAAATTTCATTGATAGATTGGATTATTCGTTCATTTCCTTAGAATTTCGTTTCTTAGAAATTCTCAAAGGAAATTATATGGATACTTTGAAGTATGGTTTTCAACTATTTTAAAGATCAAATTCGACTTAATTTTGAAGTTATTCAAGCCGAATATAAAACTCGTCATCATATTCTTCTTGTTCGAGTTAAGGATTTAATTAATAACAAAATCAAGAAAATCTTTTGTGATCACCTTGTCTGGACAACATCAATTGGTTATCTCAAAGAGAATTTTACAAAAATCTTTGCTACAGAATCAAAACTCATCAAACAAAAACTATTATGTATCGAACGTTTTGGTTTTGGTACAATGAATAAAGTAATTTCTCGTGATGTCATCGACATCGTGAAATTTCATATAATTATATTTATATCTTTTAAGATTTTGTTGATCTATCGTGCTGACCAGCTATACCAAACCTCCTGATTTGGTCAGGAGTCTACTGGTTTTTCCGATCTGCCCTGACTAAAAATCTCCTGATTTTAGGAGCTGATTTTTGTCATTTTCATCTAATTTTTATAAGTTTCTCCTGATTTCTTCATCGTTCCTGATTTTTGCTTTTACTTAGTCGAGATTTATTGGACCCTTCTCGTTTATCGAAATTCGGCGGAGAGAACGAGAAAATAATCAAAATTGACCAGGTTTTTATTAATTCTTTCTGTGTGGAATGTTTTTTGTAAATCAGCCTCTAGCCACATATTGTTTTCTGATAACAATAGCAGAAATAAGACGAAACCCGATTTAGCTGAGCTAGAATTCCGAAATAAATGAACATTCATTTGATATCTACAGAGTTTTATGTTTATGTTTTACAAAATCGACTGTACTCAGAGAAATCTAATCGTTAGAGAAATATAGTCTCATCGTAAAGAAATCACGAATTTATTAGTAATTACTTAATTACATACTTTCTACCTTATGTTTTTGTTTTATACTAATCGAGAAGTTAATATTCATTTGCTAATAGTGGTCCATAAAATAAATGTAGAAATAAATTTTATGCAATGATCATTTCTTTTAGTTTTTCCAGTTATATGAAATTCTTTTATGCTGACTCTGTGATGAAAGGGGGACACATTTGTAAACTTATGGGCGTATACTCAGCTGAAAGTTAAATATTATTCTGATTTTCATATAAAAGAGTGTTGAAAGAATAAACTATTTATTTCTTTGTCTAGTTGCATTTCACTGATTGATCGGAAGATATGTAAGAACAAATGAGATCGTTTAACCTAATACTTGACTAAAATAGAATCAAGAATAAGAAATCTGAATTAGGCAATAGTTTCAAAAAAAATGACTCCTATTGTTTGGGAGGAAGAAACATATTTTCTTCTACAAAAAACAGCAATTTTTAGTAGGGGTCCAACAACGAATAGTTGGAGTCGCGTTGAGGTCGAGTATGAGGTCAACTTTTTGCAAGCTGAATAAATGAAAAATTCAGTAACAGGTTACATTGGAGAAAATAAAGGTATACAAATTTGCAACATATGATAAACTCTTTTTTCGCATTTATGAAGTGACGTGTCACAGAAGCGAAAAAAAGGGTTTATGCCCATGTAAAAGAAATACCCCAAAACATCGGATGAAAATCGATTTTTTGAAAAAAATCCATAAAATCTGATTAAATCCCGCAATTCTGATTAAATACACGAGAAAAACAGATTACCACCGATTAATAATCTGATAATCCATTAAAATTGATTAAAGGCAACAAGAAAACTGATTTACACAGATTCCAATTATCCCAACTGNAAATTTTCATTGATAAATTAATTATTCATTCATTTTCTTAGAATTTCGTTTCTTAGAAATACTCAAAGGAAATTATATGAATACTTTAAAATATGGTTTTCAACCATTTATTGATTATCTTAGTTCAACTATTTCTAAAGATCAAATTCGACTTAATTTCGAAGTTATTCAAGTCGAATATAAAACTCGTCATCATATTCTTCTTGTTCGTGTTAAAGATTTAATTAATAAGAAAATCAAGAAAATCTTTTGTGATCATCTTGTTTGGACAACATCAATTGGTTATCTTAAAGAGAATTTTACAAAAATCTTTGCTACAGAATCAAAACTCATCAAACAAAAACTATTATGTATCGAACGTTTTGGTTTTGGTACAATGAATAAAGTAATTTCTCATCATGTCATCATAAACATTGTAAAATTTCATATAATTATTTATATCATTTAAGATTTTGTTAATTTATCGTGCTGATGCTGATTTTTGGTCTGATAATATTATTGGTATTAATCTCTTACAACTTTCTACTTCTCCATTAAAACTTTCAAATGATCAAATGAATTTTTTAAATGATCATCAAATTGATTTTAATAAAGCACAAACGATTCTTGATGCAATTATTTATGCAAGATGTTCAATAGATGTACATATGATCACTTTTGGAATAGGTGGTCCAGCTGCATTACTTGTTGAAGATATTAATGAAACAATACTTAGTCGTTTATGTCATGATGTTCTTTCTCATTATTTGAAAATAGAAAATAAAGAACAAAATCGACCAATATCTGCTTTCAAGTAGATTTATTTTTCTTCTTTTAGCAGATTTTTATATAAAATTTTTCTTTACATAATTAGATCCGAATGGCGAAAAAATCGTTTTATTCGTGGTTCATATTCATTTCGTTCGACAAATTCTGTACGAAATGATCAAGATGCTTTACGTGAACCGTATAAACCAGATGGAGTAAGAATAGAGAAAGAAAGATTATCATCTTAAATATTTTGTTTTATTTGTTGTAGATTCCACGAATTTTATTTGCAGGTGAAGCCACTCATCAACGATTTTTTTCGACAATTCATGGAGCTTTTGAAAGTGGATTGGAAGCAGCTCAATCTATTGTTAAACTTAACAAATAACAAATGTATATTCAAATACATAGAACTAAAAGAAAATTATGTAAATAAATTTGAATTCTTTTACAATAAATCGATAATAAACAAATTGACACGTAAATGTTCGATTTATTGAGAAAGATTTTTTGATATTTTCGAATGAAACAATGAATATGAAGATGTGATTTAGAAATATTTAGATGAAAAACATCGAAAACAATATGAATATCGAATTATTATCCTTTTTAATATATTGGAAATTTGTCACATAAATTGAGTCTTTGATAAACGAACGAAAAAGATTGATAAGAGAATAAAAGTGGGTGTGAATTTATCTTTTGAGAAGAAAGTCACATCTGGATTTGAGATTTTGTTTTTTTTCTCTATAAATACGATTTTATTTGATTATTTTTCTTAAGAATTGCACTCAATACAAAGGATCAATTCAATTCCATTGAAGTAATTCTAAAGATTTATTTTTATTTTAAACAAATGAATTGATCATTTTTGTATAGAAGAATTCCAATGAATTATATTTCTTTAATTATTTTTCTCGGTGTAATGATCACTATGATTCATTGTTCGATTATTTCTCGAACAAATAATCGTAATGATGTTGATCCATTTGGATTAATTCGAGATAACTATGGTTGTGATGCGGTTATTAAAAGTTGTGGAAATAAAGGCAAATGTTGCGATGTTCATGATGCTTGTTACAAACGACATGGCTGTAAAGCTATTAGTTGGATCTATTTGTGTAAATTTCTTGTTGAATTTATTTATTGATTGAATACCTTTTTTCTTTTGTTTAGGGGGAAATTGTCGTCAATGCAATTTAGATGTAATGGCTTGTGCTGTTAGACAAAATCCGGGAAAAAGTTCATGCTGTTCAGCTGGAAATTGTGGACAACCACGACCATAAATTCTTTCGTTTCGTCTCAAATGAGTGCAGTTTATTAATCTCTCCCAATAAAATCTTCAATTCTAAAGAGTATCTGTCGAATTCGAATTCGAATTTAAAAAGAAATTCATTCAAGAACAGAATAAAGTTTTAATTGGATAAACTTACGTTTCATATCCAGACATATATGTCAGATATAATTAAGTTTTCATATCAAAACATGGACATGCGTTATAAATACATGAAATCAAATGTATCTGTAATCTTTTATTACCTTCGAGTTTTAGTTTATATATTCGAACTTTCAGTACACATAGCTCGTGTATTTCATTCCAAAATATGATATCTGCTGTTGTTACACTTCCTTTTCTCGAAGTAGTGTCACACTGGGAACAAAATCAATGCACCAAAAAACATTCCCGATTTAATTTATGCGGAAACTCATAATATAAAAGTGTCACCTTCAGTTGCTGTTTAGCATTCCAGTGTGTCAAACAGACACATCTATTTATAAAATGATCATTTGTATGCAAATTCATGTATAAAACTAGTCGTGTTTCATTTGGAAAATTGAAGATTCATTAAATGGATTCGAACTACGTCAATGACTCGTCAACAGACGAGACGGATCTTTTTATTCCTCGTTTATTTCGTTTCTGGATATTTCTTTTTACGAATAGTTTATCATTAGGATGCACATTTCTGCATCTTTATCATCTACTCGGCAAAAATATTCTACGTAATACATTAAGTAATCATACAATTATTGTTATTCTCTTTACTTCACTCGGCACTCAATGTATCGATGTTCCATTCTATATGAATTATACTCTTCATGGTTATGTTTCACCTCAAACACCCTTTGTTTGTCAACTTTGGTGGTTTGTGGATGTCGGAACTTTTCAAACAACGCTCATACTTATCACTTGGATGTCATTTGAAAGACATATTCTCATTTTTCATGAACAATACCTTCGAATTCAAAAAAACCGATGGTTCTTCCATTATTTCCCATTGATGTTTTTCATTATTTATCCATTATTATTTTACACATTAGCTTTAACATTGGTTCAATGTGAAGATTCGAATTCATACGATTATACACAAGGATGGTGTGGTTACAGTCCTTGTTACTATCATGTTGTATTTCTTTCTTTATGGGATATTTTTTTCAATGGAGGAATATTCACCATTCTAGCAGTGTTTTCTGACGTTGTACTTATTATAAGAGTTATTAGAAAGAAAAGTACTCTGATACGACAACCAAGACAATGGCGAAAACATCGAAAAATGATTATACAATTATTATCAATTTCAATTCTATGTTCAATCTTTTCCATGATGATTTTAATTTATTTTCTTTTAGATACCATCGGATATTTACCAAGTGACATAGATCCTCGTATACTGGAATATATACTTTTATTTGATTTATATTCAATTTTGTGGATACCTATCCTTATGCTTCTTACACTTCCTAAACAATATTGGTGGAAACAATGGAAAAACATTTTGTGTCACAGACGACAACAACGACAAGTTGGTGTTAGAATTCTAACGCTGCCTGTTACAGTAAAGCAAATAACTAAATAATAACAATCTGTATTAAATTATGTAGAAATAAATATTTAAATTAATCAAATCGTTGAATGCTTTAACGACGGACATATTCCTTAGAGGAATTTTTATGGAGAATGACCGAAAGCTATCATTTCATGAACTCTAATTTATATATGTTATTAGTTGACACTACAGGGTGTCTCATAAGTCTGTATGGAAAGTTTTCATTAATATATCCTATATGCAATAAAAGGAATTTAATTCTTTTTTTCGTAGAATAGTAGTATATTCTCTTAAGTTTTATTTTATTTATTGAATATCGTACGATATCCATTTTACGCCCATATAAAAACGGATTATATATCTATTAATTAAATGTCAACAGCTCGGAAAAACATTTCAATTATTTTTATCTTATTATTTATCGATGACACATGACTATTTGAAAACCAGTTATTCTTCTGCAATAGAGTAAAAGTTAACCATTTGATACATTAAAAGGTAGTTAGAAACATGTCGTCCAAGAATATATAATTACCGTTATTCATGATATTTTGTCATGTACCTCATAGCTTTCGAAATGTTCTTATACGGATAAAAAATTCACCATCGAGTGTCGTCAATAGATGGTTTCTCTCCATGGTTTTAGCATCTACTATTCCGTCCGGTTCTATATGAATGAATTAGAATGTATCATAAATATTGCTGTAAATCATGTCAAGGAAAATAAATTTCAAGTTCAATTTTTCAATTATTTCCAAAGGATTTTAATAATTTTCTTATAATAAAAGAAATATGAATCTGCATTGTATATTTGAAAAACAAAACTAATTCTAATCGAATCATAATATCTATTATCTGTCAAGATATGACAAGCGGATATGGATCTTTGCATGATGTTTGTTAATTTTTTCGGTGATAACGGTGTTTTCGTTAATTTTTATTACCTAAAATATGAATCAATACAGTTCGACTAGGCACAAAAAGTTTGTTTTTTTTCACTACCGACTTTCACTGCGTAATCATACGCATCGCGCCTTACACAAGTATGACTTGGCTAAACATAGATTAATATCACCTTTTACAGGTAAAGGTGAATGGTAACAATTGTACTTTACAAAAATTTTATCTAGAAAGTGGTCGCAAAAATGTTCGGTGCTTCTTTAGTACCTCGTTTTCTCTCAATCGCGCTTACTGTTGGTCTCATCGGAGCTGTGATTGTTGCTCTTGCAATTATCGGGAGGGAAACACCAGCTGTGAAACCAGTTTTTGGGTCTGATATGCATGTTATTCTCGATCTTCCTATTGCTGCCTATGAATTGGACTTATTCTTCAATCCCCGAGCAACATTAGCAGATTTCATTGAGAGTTTAAACACCGTATTTATGTCAGCTTTTCCAGACTCATGTTTGAAAGTTGTTATTACTGGTTTCTCGATAAAACCAATTATAGTGATTGACACTTCAAATAATATGGACCAAACAAAAAGAGACACGCCATCAATTGTAGTATTGCATGGATCTGTGTATTTTACTGAAGCCAAGACCGCAGAACAAATTCGCATGACTCTTACAGATTATACACGTCTGATTATTCTCATTAATAAATATACTGGCAAACCGAGTGAAAGATTAAGCACTATAAATATGCAAAGATCAACTTTTACAGATGCTGTTCTCATAGAAATAACAGTATANTCGACAATAAATGCTAAATTGCAAGCAACGTTTTCGGCGACTTTTCTGAAGTTCAATATTTTAATGATGTCAGATGGACCGATCGAATTGTCAGCTGCCGGAAGAAGACGAAGAAAACGACAATTGAATCGATCAACACTTGTAATCGTGATTGGGAATGCATATTTTACTGGAAGTGTGACAAAAGCGAATATTTACACATCGTTTCAAGGCTATACACTTAATGTAGACGTTAAACGCACCGGTAACAGTAGAAGTTCAAGAATCAGTTACTTCTCTGCTGATCATTCCATATTTGGTGACACATCGCTAACAGACTTAAATAGTGACGAAATCGCTTATTTGGCTCCTGTTTGTTAAATCCAATAAGCCTAGTACATATTTTTAAAATGTGTAACAATTTATAAGACGAGCAAATTGTTTTTAATCGTTGGTTACATTTTCAGTAACAAATTATTTTTCTCTCAACAGTTTCATTGTGTTTTTTTGTATTTCAATACTAACAATAAACATATAATATTTATTGGCGAGATAGTGCGAAGCAGAATTATTCAGCATTCAAGTACACACTATAGGCATCTAGGAAGGAAAGCAATGAACAAAAGTTGTTTATTTTAATACGAGAGAATTGTTGTGCACTTATTCCGGGAGTTTCGACGATAATTTCAACGAATCTTCCTTTGAGACTGTATTATATTCGTATTTATTGATAAGACACGCAATTGCAATAGAAAGCTTTAAACAAAACACGCGAATATGAAAGTTTATTTTCATCTTGTGAATGAACTAACAGATATTGACCAATGAAAATCATACCAACCGATATTAGTGTATACCACGTAAAATAACTTTCGTTTCACCTGTACTTGGATTCCATGATTGTTCTCGCTCTAGAACAAATGAAATAATTAAGTCAGGATAGCGATCACTTGGTTCTTATTGGATAAGGTTACCATATAAGCATAACTGGGGATCGTAGCCGACTGTATCGATTGTATTTTCATTACTCTCACCTCCAGCATCGAAGTACAGTGGCATAGAACAGTAGAAACCGCGCCTTCGTGGCATGTATAACACTGAGTCGTATCCAATTGACGAAGAAAACCTAAAAAATTTCAATGGTAACTACTAGAAAAACGCGTTTTTTTTTCTCCCGCAAAAAAGAAGAAATATCATAATCGTAAAAAACATGTTTGATATGCGTTGCCACATTGAAAATGACATACTAACAATGTTGATCTCAATGTACAAGAGAAGTTCTCTCTTTCTGCCGAGTTTTCTTCGTACTTGCCATTCCACAGATGAATAAATACGTGTAATTGTTGTACTATTTGTTCTTCTCCTTCCGAAAAAGAATATAAGCAACTTGTTTTTCCTCAAAACACAGCTCAATAACGAAATGTTAAACAACGAAGACCAGTAAAAAGATAAAATAATGAAGAATAATGTACAAAAAAATGTTGAATTTTTCCATCGGATAAAATTATGGAGAAAAAATTCTTCAATGAAATTATACGAAAATATGAAATGAAATTCTCGTCTTGTTACGATTGTCATATCAAATATTTATAATAAGATTTCAAAATATTATTCATATAAAGACTTGTATCGACAAATGAATGAAGAATTTCATTACCAGATAAATATCATCTGAATGATTTCAACTGGACGCAATGATCCAATGCAAAGCACAACATGTTGAAATACAAGACAAATAATCTTTGTGAAATAAATATTTATCAAGATAACAACGTTGTTAACATGAAAGACAAACGTCTTTATGTTTGATCTCAGATATAAAATCTCAAGCTTTGGTTTAGGTCGTTGCGTATTAATTCATCTTAACTGTATTCGAAGATTTTCAATTAAAAAGAAATCTAAAAATGTTCAATTCATTTTTATTTGAATTGGAATGAGAAATGAAGATAATCTTATCTTCTTCTTGAATCATTTCCACTCTGTTCCTCAACATTTCAGCACGTATTTAATAATATTCTTTTATAAATGTTGTTCGATGTTTCTTTCTAAACGTTCGATTTCCTTGATTATTTTGATCTTCTTCTTCTTTTTAATCTTTCTCAAATCTTTCTCATGGAATTCTCAATTCAACGAAGAATTTATTCGAATAAATTTCGAACGTCAATCTGAATGTAATTTAGAAAATCCTGGAAAATGTTCGAAATTGAATAAAAGTTTATTGATTACATTTTGGGGCGAACGATCTTCTCAATTTTGGTTAACAAAGAATCTTCATTTAAAATATCCGGAGAGAAATTTTGATTATTTAATCATGATTTATGATAATTCGACTTGGAATTCTCATCCAATTTATTCCAAAGCGATTTGGATTCGTGTTGAAAATCAAAAACGTTTTTGGTTCATCAAAAGATTTCTTTCTCGTCATTTAATCGAATCTTATCGTTTCATTTGGATTCTTGATGAAGATGTTCAATTTGATTTCCATCCTTTAACATACGAATGTGTTGTAAATCATTATCAAATTCTTTTATCATCACCTGGAAGATTATTGGGATCAATTAGTTATTTAATTACACGAATTTCACCTTTATATGAAGATAAAATTGGTCGATGGACAGATTTTGTTGAAACAGGTCCATTAATTGTTTTTCATTCATCTGCATTGAGTTGTCTTTGGAATTTTATTAATGAAAAAGTCAGTTCAGGATATGGTTTAGATTTAATTTGGTGTCAAATTCTTTCTCAAATTTGTTTCAAAAATATTTCATCAAAGAAGATTTGTGCTATTTTAGATTCATTCTCTATGAATCATCTTTCACAAGGAATCAATACAGTTGATGTTGGAAATCGAGAATTACCCGCTTATCAGGAATATTATCGAAAATATAAAACAAAAAAACAAAGTTTCGGACCAATTGATCAACATTCATCAATTTTATATTCGTGTACAAATCAATCGATGATATGAATTCTTTTTCTTTTCCAAGGACATTTTCTTATATCTATATATTAAAGTGGAAATCATTTTAGTTGTGTCATTGAATTGAAATATTTGAAATGTGAAATAATTGAAGAAGATCATCGAGTTTGAAAAAAGACTTTCTCAGTCGAGAGTAGAGTAGAAATTGTTAACTCGATTCGAGTATTAAACATCTTCTTCGAGTTTTAAACTTATAAATCTAGAACTCGAAGCTTCGAGCTTTCAACTATTCGAGTTTTGAACTTATAAAATTTAGAATTCGAACCTTTGAGTTTTTAAATTATACCACCCTCACCCACACCCACACCCTCACCCAAACCCTCACCCACACCCACACCCTCAAGTTGAAAGTTTAATACTCGAACTTTGTTTTCGAGTTATACATGTATGATAAACTTATCTAAAGATTTCAGAAAGTGAGATCATTCATGAAAAAAAAACCTTTGTTCTTTTGATATCTTGAGTGTTGATGGAAAACGATTAATGACGCTTTATGATAAAACACATTTTTTATATTGAAAGCAAGAAATTGTTTTCTTTGAAACAATTGAAATTCCGTCATCTTCATCATCACATCTTGTTTGTCCAAACCATATACTGAGAACATGGTCTTTCGATTTATCTAATTGGTCTGAAAATGTGAAAACGCGTCGAGTTAGTTGAGGTAAAATTTCATTGAAGAATTTTTCTTTCCATTCGTTATATTTTCTATTTTCATCTTCTTTGGTTTTAGCTGAATTCAAACATTTGATTTGAAGACTCGATAAATTTTCCCAAGGCAAAAAATATTTGTTAAATTGATAACATAACTTGATTTCCGCTTGATTAATAACAATATGTTTAACATTAGGAAATGAATGGAAAAAGATTCCTTTAAATGCATCTGAATAGTCACTATGGATTGTACATTTGAATAGATATGGTAACTAAAATGAAAACATCATATTCTCGAAAAATATTTCAAAAAAACTGTTGATTTTACTTCGATCGAAGTGACTCTTGAATTTGCACATTTGAGATTTGAATAGGATTTCATATATGGCCATTCGGAAAAAACGATTTTAAAAACATTTGGCATAGAATCCAAAAGATACAAAACTTTTTGAAAATCATCTTCGAACGACATCCAATAGGTCGGAAGTATCACGATTTTCACTGAATTCAAATTGCAAATGCGATTCAATTTCAATGCAAAAGATGAAATCTTTTCCCAATGAAATCGTTCAATATGTTCATAACGATTAAAACACAATGGAATATCATAATGATTTTCTTCATCATGAAAATCGCGAATATTTAGATTAAGATCGTTACACGAAGGTAATGTTGTTTCAATAATTGTGCGCGAAATTTCCATGTCATTGTTGAAATGTGGCACAGTTAATAATTTCAAACCGTCGAATTTCTTATATTTTGTTAATGCAACAAACCATTTTTTCTCTTCGAACCAAAATCGAGTTCGAAATGAATCCAATGAAAGATTTTTTTCATCGGGAATATGACAAATAAAATCAAATTTTGATAAATAAGGAAATGCATTCCTTATAAAACGTTCCCATTGATTCCCATTGAGAAACAAAGGATCATTACAATTGTAAATTTTGATTTCAAGTTGTTTTAAATACTTTAATGTATTTAAACCAGTTCTTGTAGTTAAATAAGTAAATGATTCATCTAAATCAAATGAAATCATGTCAAATTTTCATGAGATTATCTTTGTTACCAAATGGAAAAGTCAATCGTCTCAAATTTGGTGCAAGATCAAAGTTAACCAGAAAACTTTTCTTTTCTCTGTCTTCTGTGTTCATATCCAATGAGATTAATCGTGGTAATGCAGACAAGAAGTCATTAATACGGAATTCATATACAGAAAGCACACTGAATTTAACTGTTCGAACTTGAGACCATTGTTCGGAAAGAAACTCTCGGTGTCGAATCTAAGAATAAAGAAATACTTTGAAATCAACAATAGAAATCAGACTATTTACAGCGTATGAATTACTCCAATATTGTAAACGAGTTTTTAATGGGATTAAAGTTAAGTGCGGTGATTCGATGATGTTCACTAAACAATGTTCATTAAGTTGATTAAAACCTTCTGTAAATTCATCGTGAATATTCATTAATTTGATTTGATCAAGAATTAATAAACGTAAATTTTGTAATTGTTGAAAAGCTCGAAGAATTAACTGATATTTCTGTTGATCTATTGTCATATGACGAAATGTTAAACAACGAAGACCAGTAAAACGATGAAATGATGAAGAATAACGTGAAAGAAAAAGTTGAATTTGTCCACCAGTTAATTTTTCATCTGATAAAATTATTGAAAACAATCTCTTCAATGAAATATATGAGAATATGAAATCAAATTCTTGTCTTGTTATTCTTGTCAAATCAAAGTTGTATTTGTCATAAGATTTCAAAATCTTATTCATATAAAGACTTGTATCAACAAATGAATGAAGAATTTCATTTCCAGATAAATATTCAAATATCATATGAAGAATTTCCACAGGACAATGATCAAATGCAAAAGACGACATGTTAAAATGTAAGACAATCGTTGTTCTTGATGAAACAAACGTCTTTATTTATACAACAAGATAACAGAAGTCAACATGAAAACAAACACATTATCTTTAGCAAAATTATTCTTTGTCTCAGAAATAAAACATGAAATTGTCCGAGTATCAAATTGTTTCAAATCTAAAAAGTAAATCTTTGAATATCCAATTTGTTTTTCGTTTTTATTTGAATTGAAATGAGAAATGAAGATAATATTACCAGATATTTTTCCAGCCTTAACAGAGAGAAAACTCGAAAGTGAATAATCGATTGAACTTCATCGTATCTTTCGAACTTCTATCGACGTGGATTGTGCTATGATCATCTCTACTCGTATAATCGCCACTTATGGTCGATGACCCCCCACTTATCTTACACCATTCGATGCAGAATGACGAAATCTATCCATCACAACAGCTTAGAGATCCATCACAAGTCCTTGAGCGAATATCAGCAAGAAATACTCGAATCCGCTGCTAACTTCCACTACGTGTAAAAATGATCAATTTAACTCACTGAAAAAGAAAACGAGTTCAATCCAAAAAATATTAACAGAGAAAATACTTATGAAGTAACTAATTTGTTTCATATCGACAAATTTTATTTATTTTACCGATTGGATCGTTGTTGATAAATTAACATTTCTATCGACTTGTTTTAAAAAAGCGTCACATAAATAAGAAAAGAAGATTTTAACAAATCTTTCATTCATGTCGTTCTATTCAGAGTCTGGGGGCAAGAGTATTCGGTCGGTTTGAGGAACTTTAGTTCCATCACGTTGTCTTTTATTTCATCTCAAAATATTTCTTATCACTCTATATACTCCTCTGCCATTATAACATATTTTTCCGCCATATAAATAATACTCACTTTCTATTTGAAACTTAATAGGGTTTGTTTGAATGTTATTTCAATATCAAATAAATCAATGAAAAACAAAATGAAAATTTTGTTTAAAATTCCAATTCCCCAGGTCATTTCCGCTCGGTCGGAACCGGCCGGTTCCTCATATTTCTTTGCCGCCGGATTCCGGCCGGATTTCTACAGGATTTTACCGGCAAATTCCTACTGGATCCAGACAGAAACGACGACAATTGAGAACGAGCTGGACCCGGTCACCATCAGGAACCAGCTGAGTCCGGTGACCGTCAAAAACCACTTGAATCCGGTGACCATCGAGAATCAGCTGGATCCGGTGACCATCGGAAACCAGCTGAATCCGGTGATAATCGGGAATCAGCTGGATCCGGTAACCATCGGAAACCAGCTGAATCCGGTGATAATCGGAAATTACCTGGATTCGGTTGAGACAACACTACTGCGACCATTTATTTCTGTGATAACTTCGATTCTATCTAGCTCCTCCGACAGCTTCAACATCTCTTTTCCCCTGTTTTCAGCCTAGATCTACTAGACGTTACAAGCATCGCTCTCAAACGAATCAAGCGTACTCACCAACTTATTAAATTTACAGTAACAATCGATTTTGGTCCGAAAACGTGAAAGCGTAAACAATTTTGTGCGTAGCACTACTTTCTGCAAACCATAAGGTGAACCGCAAACATGATGTGGTTTTATTTCTTTGTCCATGAATATTTCTACGCGCGACGCCTCTGACTGCCTTTTTTCCTCACATCGCTCTATTTTTTCCTTTCTAATCTATTGTTATCATTTCAAACGGACAGCACGGTTATATGAACAAAATACGGTCGCGCCTATATGTATTGAATTTTACATTCGAATATGCCATTTTCATCCATTTCATATAATTATCCAACCTATGTTTATGAGTTATTGCGTACTCCTTTTAACATATGAAATTCTTTATAATACACCACTCACAAGAGCACGTTATGCTTTGCATAATATCTACCTTAAACAGTACCTTGTCTTCAGCTGTAGGTTCAAAAAACAGCGTTTGCCGTGTATCTGCAGAGGAACTCGATCCAGAACACGACCAAAGCGAATCTAGTCCCAAATGCATCACTAATGTCCTTACGTGCTATCCCAATCGAACGACCAGAACACGCTGCACCATTTCGTCCGATCAAAAAAGTACTTCCCAGCTAAATAGAACTTCTACGTATAGAAAGTGATGGAAGTACTTCGAAGTACTTCCCAGCTAGGCGAGGGCTCGGTAGTAATTGTACCAAACTACCCCTACTTTCTTTTAGCGGCTGAAGGTTTCCCGTAATTTACTCGTATATAGAAATATATTTTTGCACTGGTCAGTAGTTACGTAAGAGTTCCGCAAAGCAATTAATGATCTCATAATTATTGTTGCTGTTCGAGGAGTCCTCTACGAAACCATTGATATCTGCTGTTGGATCAGTTAGGAAAAGGAGAAGACTCATTGAAAGAAATATCCCTTTACGCTAGCCGACGTCTAGTTTTCAATAGACCGTCCGAGAAGACCCTATAAATATCGATGCAATTTTCATTTTCTACTTATTTCTAGTTTTCTTCACTAGTCGTCAGCTATGTCTATTGATCTCGGCGGACGTCCAGTTTTCAATAGACCGTCCGGTGAGACCCTATAAATATCGATGCAATTTGCATTTTCTATCTATTTCTGGTTTTTCTTACTAGTTGTCACTATATCGATGCAAATCTATCGACGGAAAATTCTCAATAGCCTGGTATTCAACTAGGTAAATGATGATATTTAATAAACCACATTCTATCGTCTTGCGTGTTTAGAGTTGATCGGAATGAATCTACTGGACTGGCTTGAACCTACTCTCACGTTCGTGTCACGATGAAAGGGTGGGTGAAGGTGTGTGGACGTTCGAAAGGGGTGAACTAGGTTTCGTACCACTCATTCCGAACGCCCGCACCCATCCACCCACACCATATATTCTGTAGTGACTGAATACGGAGCCTGTGGGAGGATAACTATAAAGGAATCTGTGACCAACCCAAGAGAACAACTAATGCAACGAAGGCTTCGCAGCTATGGATTTTCACGAAACGTTTTTTAATATAGTTACACATGGTTCCGTACGGCACCTATGATACGGAACCTTCTGTCTTTTGAAGAAAAAAGTTTCGTAGTAAACCTTTGCTGCGGAACCTTCGTTCTCAGTTTTTCCTGTAAGGTTCTCTTCGGAACCTTCATTTTACTTAACCAAAAAAGGATCGTCCCGTGTCTCGGAGGAGCATGTTATCGAGAATAACATGGTTTGCGAACTTCCGGTGTGTGGAAGTCGGCGGTTTTTGTAGGAAACCTTATAGGCAGTATCCTGCAATATTGATCGATCGGAAGTGAAGGAAAGTTTGATGGTTCCTTGTGAAGAGTTTCGGAGGATTAGATCGGAAAGTACAGTGTGTGATCCGGTCAAGATCCGTGCACTGGATATCTGGGGGTTTTTTCCTTTTTTGATGAGCGGAAAAAGTTGGAATACGTC